AGGAGGTAGAGAGGAGGAGGAGAGGGTGCAGGTCAAGAGGAAGTGATCATAAGGAGCATCGGGGAGGGGGGTGTGGTCGGAAGGATATGAGATCAGCAAGCAATTGGGAGGGAATGGTTCAGAGGCGGGCAGAGCACGAGTATATTGACTCCTCCTCCTCCTCCTCCTACACCACCACCACCACGTTTCCACAGAGATCCCACGAAGTCTTCACACCGCCTCACGTAAGGATGTAGCAACAGCGATGGAAATGGTTAAGGTGCTTCGAATCCTCCTGGCACTCTTCCTGGTGCTAGTATCCATGAGGACGATGCTAGTCGATATCCCCTCGACCTCTATCAGCAAGGATGCTTTGCCGACCTCCCAGAGGTTCTTCTTCCGAAGCAGGGCAGGACAGCTGCTGGACTCGATCCGGAGGCTGACTTCCGATAGTGCTCCCAGTGACATCTCCAGGGAAGTTTTAGCCTTCGATTCCACGTACCCCTCGTACCCTCTCCCTTCAGACCCGCAGGAGTCTGCATGCTTGCTGGCGCCTGATGCCTCTGCGCTCATGAGGGAGTGCGGGAGGTTCTCCTCGCTCAGAGGATGCGTCATGGACATCGCAGCGGCGATGCGAACGAGGCTGGGGAACGTGACTGTCATCGTGGTAACTTTCACCAGTTTCTCAGCAGGGGATTCCAAGCTCTTGTCTCAGCATGGCATCTTGGTCCCAAGCAACTCCTCCCAGCACACCATCTCCTCCTCTCCTGCCGTGCTGCTGCACGTCTGCAGCAGAGCAGGCAAGGTCGTACACTGCCTTGGGAGAGGAGCAGAAGGCCGCGAGGATGTCGGGGGAGCTGAAAGTTACGAGAGGTTTGCAAAGGAGAGGAGAGCTGTGGCTGTTGGCAGCCTTGCTCTGCAAGACAAGTGCACAGAGGAGACGAGGAGGTGGGCTGAGACCAACGACACCTACGTCGACAGTCTGGCGAATATCCTCCACGTCACAGGCGAGAAGATGTGCGCGCTGGTCCGATGCAGACCGGACGGTCCGACCTCTCTCTTGCCGGTGAAGAGGAAGGGGAGGAGGAGGAGAAAGGTCGTCGTTATCAACCTGCCCAGGAGAGCAGACAAGCGCGCGCTGATGCGATACAAGTTGGAGAAGTACGGCATCAAAGCTTACGAGTTCTTCGACGCTGTGGAGTGCCGCCAGCATGCCGCTTGTCAAACTTTCTATCACTCTCTTCTCAAGGTGCTCAAGCCGAGAATCCCTGGACCAAACTTCCCGTCCTGGGGAGCCGTCGGCTTGCTCTGGACACAGTCGAGCCTCTTCGAGAAGCTCGTGACGGAAGATTTTGACGAGCTGCTGCTCTTTGAAGATGACATCTACATGCTCGATCATGCTCACAAGCTCCTTGAGCTCTCATCACAGCACAACTTCTACGAAGACGCTCCGATGGTCTTCCTTGGCGCCAACCAGCTGCACTGGTCGAAGAGGCAGCTCGAAGAGATCAGGAAAAGAAGAAGACCCTCCTCCTCCTCCTCCTCTTGCTACTTCACTTCGACCATGGAGTGGGACTCCAGCCTTCGGCGGTTTGTGCCCTACGAGAACGTCACCGAGTACGATCACACCTACTACACCTACGGCACCTACGCCATGCTCGTCCGAAGGCCCATGCTCGAGTTCCTCCTCCGTTGGACCCGATGGACTCTCGCGCATCCGAGCAACATCATCCCCTCCGACGCCCTGCTCAACTGGCTCTTCGTCTGCCAGGGGCTGCGCATCCCCGTCGTCTTCCCCAACCTCGTCCTCCCCGAGGTGCGGGACTCGGACAACATGGGCCCCCTCGACCTCCTCAAGTTCGCTGCTCCTCGTCGCCTCAACTACAGCGCAGTGAAGGACCTGCACGTGTTCGAGAACTTCGCGCGAGTGGCTGGAAGGATGATGCGGGCGAGGTACACAGCGATCTGGGATGAAAGGGAAGTTCACCATTCAGTCTTGGTGAAGGACAAGGAGCAGGCAGAGCTTGTTCTTAACTTCACCTCCTACTTCGTCATCATCATCACTGGGTACAACTTCCAAGACGAAATTGAGAAGGCTCTTTCGTCCGTCTGCAGCCAAAACTTCCCCTTCCTTCGGCTCATCTACTTCGACGATGGATCGACAGACAGGACGCTGAACGTCACCCGGACGTACCTTAGGAAGCATCCGGCGTGTGGATTCAAGGCCACTATTCTGATCTCTCCGCAGCGTCGAGGACAGTCGTTCGCACGTCAGGCTGCTGTTCGCCACGTGCTCGACCATGAGGTCGTCGTGTTCGTGGATGGCGACGACTGGCTCATGGACAACAGCAGCATCCTCTACCTCAACGAGGTCTTCCACACCCCTGAGCTCTGGCCACGATCGGCCAGGACCAACCAACTCCTTCCTCCCCTCATGACTTATGGCAACGTCGTGCAGTTCCGCTACGGCAAGCTGATGAGCAGGACGATGACGACTGAGGTCTTCCCGGAGAAGGTCAAGCTCGCTTCCTCCTATCGCTCCCACAAGTGGATCTCCCATCACCCTCGCGTCGCCCTTGGATGGCTCGCGAAGTCGGTCCCCGACACTGCCGTGATGGACTGGAGTTGCCGATGGCTGACGCGCTGCTCGGACATGGCTCAGTCCTTCTTCATGCTCGAGCACGCGGACGGGCGCATGGTGAGGGCGAACCGGACGCTGTACGTGTACAACTTTGACAACTCGAGGAAGAGTCCGGACTCCTACTTCCTCACCTGGAAGAACAAGACGTTCAAGAAAGAGTACGAGCAGGTCGAGGCTTGGGTACGGGGCAAGTACAAGCCAGCAAGCGGCAAGTCCATTCTCGATCACGTGGCGCGACCCGATGCTTGCGACCTGAGCGAGGCGAGAAGCCATCACTCGATGGTGCGGAGAGTGCCCGTGTGAGGAAGAGCGAGGAGAGGGCGAGGGCGAGGGTGAGGGAGGGAGAGCAGTTTTCTCGTTCGAAGAGTTGGGGAGTCATTGGATAACTCGAAAGGTAATTCATATGAGTTTGTTTTGATACATAACAGCACAATAATGCTTCAAGGTTTTGCTCGATATCGCTTTCGCCACCTCTTGCAGCTCCTCTTCGTTGGTCCATATCGACCGCAGGGCTTGCTCTGCTGTTCTAGTCTACATCTGCCTCTTCCCTTCCAGCTCCTGTCCTATATCCCTTCCCTCCCCTCTCTCTCCTCCCTTCGCCTTCACCCCATGGCCACCTCGCTCTCTCCCGCCGTCATGTACCAGGCGATCCAGCCCGCGTCCAGCGCCTCCGCCTCATCCTCCTCCCACCTCACCACCCCTCCCGCCCGGGTCTGCTGCTGCAGGGGAGCTGGGGCGGCCTGGTCGAGGCGAGCGCTCCTCTCATACGGCCAGCGGGCGACGCCGAGCCGCCGGCATGCGCTCTTGAAGGCCGTCAGCGACAGGCCCTGCAGGAGACACAAGCAAGGAGACACGTCAGGAGGCAGCAGGCAGGGACAGGAGGCAGCAGGGACGTACCAGGGAGGCAGCGGCGCTTGTCTGGGGGAGGTGGAACAAGGCTGAGACGGTGGAGAGCTTGAGGTGGACGCCAGGGCTTGATCTGGAGCGGAGGGGAGGGGGAGGGAGCAGAGCTTTCCTCCTGGGGAAGACGCGGACGACAGCGGGGGGAGGATTCATGGAGGAGGAGAGGGAGATAGGAGGGCAGACAATAAGTGTGGGGAAAGGACTCAGAGGTATCAGGGGGGTTTGAGTAGAGAGGAGGAGGGAGAGGAGGGAGAGGAGGAACGAGGAGGGAGAGGAGGCAGAGGAGGAACGAGGAGGCAGAGGAGGCAGAGGAGGGTCAGCGTGACAGGAGGGAGAGGGTGAGGAGGGCGAGGGAGAGGAAGTGGTTGGGTGGATAGACAGCGTCTGAGCCAAGGCGTTGGTTGATCGCACTTGTGGGAATATATTGTACCATCAGAGGTGGGCAGGTTGTTGGGGCTCCGGGTGATTGAAAGGTTCTGTTTTGGCAAGTTTCAAGAATTACAAGTATTGTAACGGATATATGCTGACACTAAGAATGGCCCCGGCATCTCCCGGATGCTCCGAGGAGTCACACAAAATCAGCTTCCGTCCAGCGGAATGATGACGGCACCCGACGGAAGGACCCACTACCCCCTCAACTTACCATGAAAGTCCATTGAAATGAGGGGAGGGTCTGGGGGGTTGTGTGCGTGGTCAGTCACGATACATATCACGGTCCACTAAGGTCAGCGAGCGTGACAGCGATGTTGCGACTGCGAGGGCGAAACAAAATCCAACAGGAAGGCGAATGACATAGGCGAGCTGGAGGCAGCAAGGGAGGCTGGAGGATCAGCGAAATGAAGGCATCAGGAGCAAACGACTGGCAGGAGCACACGATACAAATGCATGCGCTCGTTTCATCTCTCCTCGTATCGGATTTATGGTACAATACAGCATGACTTCACTAGCTCTTGCTGGTCCACAAGATACCGATGACTCGTTTCTAGTCTACATCTGCCTCTTCCCTTCCAGCTCCTGTCCTATATCCCTTCCCTCCCCTCTCTCCTCCCTTCGCCTTCACCCCATGGCCACCTCGCTCTCTCCCGCCGTCATGTACCAGGCGATCCAGCCCGCGTCCAGCGCCTCCGCCTCATCCTCCTCCCACCTCACCACCCCTCCCGCCCGGGTCTGCTGCTGCAGGGGAGCTGGGGCGGCCTGGTCGAGGCGAGCGCTCCTCTCATATGGCGCCAGGGCTTGATCTGGAGGGGAGGGGAGGGGAGGGGGAGGGAGCAGAGCTTTCCTCCTGGGGAAGACGCGGACGACAGCGGGGGAGGATTCATGGCAGTGCAAGGAGGGGAGGGGAGGGGAGGGGAGGGGAGAAGAGCAGGGGATTGCTTCTCCTCTACTCTGGTCTCGACGAAGACTCACCCTCAAGCTCATGGCAGTTGGCGGGGAAATGGCAAGGGATGTGAGTTTTATCAGATGACGGTAGCAAGACTTGATGGTGGACTTTGACTTCACCGCTTACCACGTCTGAATCTGCCGTCATCATGACAACCATGCTTCAACATGACAACCATGCTTCATCATGACAACCATGCTTCATCATGACAACCATGCTTCATCATGACAACCATGCTTCAACATGATAAGAATGGCTACATGTAGTTTACAGAGATCTCAGCTCTTTGCTTAACTCCTCACTTCCCTCCTCTGGCTTCGTTGACCAGATGAGCTCTCCTGGACAGAAGTTTCGCTCCAGCACTCGGAAGAGTTGTCTGCGTGCGCAGATTGCGAGAGAGGAAGGGAACATCGACGCTCTGCGGGGCAAGATAAGAAGAGAGGAGGCAGGGGAAGGAGAAGTCAGGCAGGGGAAGGAGAAGTCTGTACAGAGTCAGGCATCCAAGGGCGAACAAGGCGGGTGCGGGATACAGAGGTCTGGAGGGGTTGGCTAGAAGGGATGGAGCACTGAGGGAGGCGGGAGGCGAGGGGTACCTGTTCCTCAGGGGATGACTGATGGAAGGGAAGGAAGAGGAGGACATCCTGGAGGAGATGCGGGAGACGGAGGAGAGAGCAACGGAGATTGAACGGTCTCGCGTTCTCTCCGTGTGCTCAAGGCTGTCTTGCGGTCATCCGAGCAGAGAGAGGAGGTGAGAGCAGAACCTTTGATCTTGAGGCGAGTGGGTGCGATGTTCATGCTCGAAGATGGGGGACGACCGCTGAAAGATGATCAGAGGGCGGCGGGAGGAGGAGATGGAGGAGAGACATGAAAGTCCAACGCTGACGCAGATCTCTTGGCGGCGCTGTCGTCAGTGTCGATCCTGACTCCCAAGGCTCTGGTGGCAACGAGGATGAGGAGAATGAAAGAGGAGGAGATGCAGGAGGAGGAAGAAGAGAGGAGCAAGTTTACGAGAGGAAGACAGAAAGAGGAGAGATCAGAAGAGGAAGAGGGGGAAAGTAAGAAGGTGGCAGGATACACTGCAAGAGATGAGATGAAGGAGAAGAGGAGGGGGGAGGAGAGCGCAGAGATGACGATGGAAGGCAGAAGCAGAGGATAGGGAGGGAAGAAAAGGAAATGAGAACCTGAGGCGAAGAGGATTCCCAGACCCGTAAATTGCGATGGGACTGTGACAGGTGGTCAAGAAGTATCGTGAGAAGAAATAACAAGAAGAAATAACAAGAAGAGATTAGATGAATGAGAAGAAAAAGAGGAGAAGGAAGAGGAGGGAAAGGAGGAGAAGCAAGACAAGGAGAAGGAGAAGGAAAAGGAGAAGGAGAAGGAGAAGGAGAAGGAGAAGGAGAAGGAGAAGGAGAAGGAGAAGGAGAAGGAGAAGGAGAAGGAGAAGGAGAAGGAGAAGGAGAAGGAGAAGGAGAAGGAGAAGGAGAAGATGATGAATCAGAAAAGGGAATCACGTGATGAGGAGGGGAAGAAGAGAGGAGACAAGAGAGGGACTGGTGGAACGAAGGAGTAGCAGGAACCTTGTGCTTCTTGAAAGACGAACTAGAGCATTCATCTTCATTTGATCGCGAGATGACTCAAAGGAAGTCCACAGAGAAGTCATTCTGCTCTCCTCCTCCATCGACTGCTTTTCCTTGATCCTACTCTGAGACTCAAAAGCTTTGAAGGAGGAGGAAGACAAGATATGTCGGAGAGTGGAGGAGGAGAAGAGGAGAGGAGAGAAGAGGAGAGAGAGAGGAGAGGAGAGAAGAGGAGAGGAGAGGAGAGAAGAGGAGAGGAGAGGAGAGGAGAGGAGAGGAGAGGAGAGGAGAGGAGAGGAGAGGAGAGGAGAGGAGAGAAGAGGAGAGGAGAGGAGAGGAGAGGAGAGGAGAGGAGAGGAGAGGAGAGGAGAGGAGAGGAGAGGAGGAGAGGAGGAGAGGAGGAGGAGGGATTGGTAAGAATTTTACTCGTCCTCATCGTCACTTGTCTTGACCTCTTTCTTAGACGCTGGTGTTTTCTTTGCATTGTCTTTGAAGCTTGCATTCACTGCGAGCTTTAGCTCCTCTGATCTCATCGCCTGCATCATTTCATTGCGTCATTCATTCGGCCCTTGTCTCTTGTTTCTCACTCTCGCGCTCTCGTTGATCTTGATCGTGTCCAACACGAAGATTTCTTCCGATTTGATCATCATCCTTGCTTCAAGGTCGTTCAGTGCATGATCGACCTGCCGATTCATCCGTTAGAATCATCTCCTGCCCCCCACGCTCTCCTGCCCCCTCGCTCTCCTGCCCCCTTCGTCTCCTCCTCCTCCTCCTCCTCCTCCTCCTCCTCCTCCTCCTCTCCAAACTCTCAGCACCGATTTCATGTCTTTCAGATGCTGCACGTGTTTTCTGCCTTTGCATCCCCGGAAGAATGATTGGATCTTCACGCTTGATGCAACTTTCCTCTGATATCGTTTCTTCATCCACCTGCAACCACCGATCAATGCGCAAATCTTTGATCATGATGAGAACCCATTTCATTTCTCTCCTCCCTCCTCCCTCCTCCCTCCTCCCTGCTCTCCTTCCTTTTCCCTCCTTTCCTGCTCCCTGCTCCCTGCTCCCTGCTCCCTGCTCCCTGCTCCCTGCTCCCTGCTCCCTGCTCCCTCTATACTGCATTCTTTGCTCGTCTTTCTCACCGCTGGATTGTTTTGATCGCCTGCTCTTGTGCAGTCTCGGCGAGCAAGAAGCCTGCGCTCGTTTCTTGTACCATCTTACAGCGACATGAGAAGCGTCTCATTTCCAGGGAAGCGAGAAGACAGCAGAAGGTGAAGAGAAGCGAAGACAATATGAGGATGAGGATGAACTTGAAGATGAAGATGAAGATGAAGATGAAGATGAAGATGAAGATGAAGATAATGACGACGACGACGATGATGATGATGGAAAGAGGATGCAGGGGAGAAGAAGAAACGATTGAGATATGAGAAAGATACAAGAAAATTAATGGAAGAAGATCAGACGAGGATAGGATGAGAAGAAGGAGAGGATATAGGGATATCTTGTGTGAAATGTAGTGTATGTTGAAAAGATCATAACCTTGGCATACAGCAGATCTTCAGCAAATCTCGTCCATTTGCTCGACGAGTTGGAAACGTGTAGCATTTCCGCCTGAACTAGATCAGTACAAGTTGCAGAGAAGGAATATCAATTACAAACTCTTCTATCATCTTGAGCATTGCAAACCTTGTTGCAGCCTTTTGCTGCGGATGATTTTAATGACGATGTCAACAGTTCCAAACCGTCATCACCATCACCATCACCATCACCATCACCATCACCAACACATCACCATCACCATTAACTCATCATGATCATCATGATCACCAACACATCACCATCAACATCACCTCATCATGATCATGATTATCAGATTCATCATCATCATCACCACCATAACATTCATGACTCTCTCATTCTCACTTGTTGTATCTCGTAATGATCACTGGCGTCGAGAAAACTCTCAGCAACATTTCCATCCGCGACTGAGAGGTTTGAAAATATGCTGAGAGACACAAGTCAGACATCAAGTGCTGTTTCAACCTCAGCAAGTCACAAGAAAGATCTCTCGAAACGAACACTGCGATTCCTGCATCTCTCCCGCACGAACTTTTCATACTGCTCCGCACGTTGTAACGTTCTCTTCGTCCACACACAAACCTGCCGGAAGAAGATCAGGAGCATCAAATATTTTCTACTCCTCCTCCCTCCTCCCTCCCTCCCTCCCTCCTCCCTCCCTCCCTTCGTCTCCCCTTCCTCCTTCTCTCCTCGCTCTCTCCCTCCCCCCCTTCGTCACCCTTCCTCCTCTCCTCCCTCCCCTCTCTCGCTCTCGCACATACTACCTGCTTCAACAGAACTTTGGAGGAACAAAGGACCGGTTCTACATGCTCCTTTACGTTGTCCTTCAGGTAAAGTACAGCTTGCAGCTCCCAGTAGATTCGCAACCAGTCGGGAGGAACAGGAGGAGGTGGAGAGTTGAGAACATCGAGAGATTGAATACATGCGATGTCATTGACAGCTTCGAGGAACAGTTGTACAATCTCGCGTCTGCTCTTCTTGTCAGCGTTCGCAAGTTTGAATCCTGTATCACCTCAACATGTCCTCGGGTGACAAGGTTAACATGTCTGGCCTGAGATACTCCGGAAGAGAGGAGAAGAAAATCTCAATCATGTCGTTACTATTGCTGTAAGAAGAGCAGGTTAGCAGAGATGATGGGGAGAGCGAGGAGGAAGAGAAAGAAAGCATGAGAGACTGTAAGACGGGTTGAGCAAGGAGCAAGACGAAGATTGAGAGAGGATAAGGGAGCGACAGAGAGCGAATGGAACAGAGCGCCGGGATAGAGGAGGCGAGAAAAAGGAGAGAGAGAGGAAGGAAAGGAGGTCTGACTTGTTGTCGTCTTGCGGAGGAGGAGCAGGAGACAACCATCCTTGATGTAGGCTGTGAAATGACTGCAAGAAAATAATCTTCATCTTCATCTTCATCTTCTCTATCTCTACGATCTCCATCATCATCATCATCTCTATCATCATCATCACCACCACACCACACCACCACCAGCATCATCATCATCATCATCATCTCTATCATCATCATCATCATCATCATCTCTATCATCATCATCATCATCAT